CCATTGTCACCACAAAGTGATACACATCGTAGTCTATATAAAAGAAATACAGAACATAAATAACTTTATGTCAGTTATTTATATCGTATAACTCGTTTCGTTACGCGGCTCGCATAGGCTTTTCAAATTCAGAAAAAACGAGAACAAATTAAAAGAAGACAAAGCACTTTATCGCTATCGGCCGTGTTTAACAAATTAGCAACAAGGTAGTGATTAATGATATCAAAATATACATCGTCAAATTACAATGAATACTTTGGTTAAATACGCAAAGTCGACTGAGTAAAATGGAAGGATCAAGCCCAATAGTTTTCTTTCACTATGTTGAAATTTATAATTCATAAATGCACTCAATACCAGCTTGATATCAAGAAGCAGTGATATCAGATTATCTGAGATTTTGGACCTTAAACATGATATCTAGAGTGTTGGGACATTATTGCAATATATATTTCATATCAATATTAGAAATATATCTAATGTGATCGCAAACCAGCTTGATATCAAGCAGTAGTGAAATCAGATTATCAGAGATTCTGGTGCTCAAACATGATCTTTTGGGCCATTACTGCAACATCAGAAATATATCTAATATATGTGCACCAGAAAGAGATAGGTTAACCAAACCAGATACATATAGTTATTTTTTCAAAACCTGCTTGATATGAAGCAGTAGTGACATCAGATTACCAGAAATTTCAGATTTTAAACACGATGTCAAGTGAAAATAGATTTTTCGGTTATTTCTGTAATACATTAACATCACTATAAGAAATATAATCTGATCAGAAATAAAATGGTCAACTTCTGGGTTGCCTTTTATAAATATCAAGTTAAAGAATACACACCTGAATACATAGAACACATAGTTTTGATTGCTGTTCTAATATAAATAAAAAATATAAATTTTATCTAGGAAAATCTAGGTTCCTTTTTTTATGTAATCTATTTTCTTTATGTAAGTTTTACCTTCTAGTGAAAGCAATTTTATTGTAAACTATGTTGTGACTTCATATGTACACATGAATGTCATGGGTTATATTTAGCAAATGTAGGCAATAGCACAATCAATAAAGCACTGAAAAATTCAGAAACATAGGTTATATATGCATATCATTATTTTGAAATAAAACTGTACTAGTAAAAACTAATATGATTGCTAATAGTAGTAGAAGCTTACTGATAATCAAGATTTTTTATTAAATTTATTGAATCAAATACATTTCTATATGAGTTAACTTTCTATCTTTACCATGTGTAAAAAAAAATATGTAAAACAAAATTACCGTAATATTTTCGTATACTATTTTTTAATTATTGAACACTGATTAAAACTTAACATCTAGGAGCTGTTGTGATGAATTATTAAACTATGTTGCTTTTTGGTAAATGATAACCCAAATAGTTGTCCCATCTCTATGTGATGAATTTTTATTATTACAAAATTATACATTTTCTATGAATTTTAAATTATACAAGTTTTCCAAAATAAGGTTATATTCTATTGAAATCATATTTAGAAATATAGAAGTAAAAACTGATATTACGCTTGAGCCCGATACAATTTCGAAACTTCTAAAAAAGCAACAAATTTCTTGGAATAAATAATGATAACAAATTATTAAAATAGAATATTGGACTGATAGGCGACATCATCGTTCCTTAGATTTATATTACTTATTATTTGACAATTATATTAATCGTATGTTAATCAAAATATGTATGTAGGGTACATTTCACTTTTTTATTTGAATCAAATTTAATTAATAGCTTGCTATACAGAAGTATATTAGAAGGAATTCTGATCAACCTCACTTGGTAGATAGCTAAAAAATATTAAACAGAAAAGTCTACTACCAATTTGTTGTTAGTATTAAACATATAACTAATAGAGATTCACTTCCACCTATCTCTTAGCTTAGAAGGTTATAAAAATCTTGACAGAAAAAAAAATTAGAAGTTATAATTGTTTTACTTCCAAATGTGATAAGAATGGGAGCTTTGTCTGGAGATAGTTCTTCTGAACAAAATAAAAATTCTCGACCAAAAAGAAGACAAATTACTTCGACGTGGCCAAAAGGGTGGACCATAGGTCGAGAAGATAGGACATTGCGTAACACAGTATCAAATACCAGAGCGATTCAAACAGCTGCCACATAAATTTACACATGACATTCACTGACTGACTCCCATGCATAAGTAGCCTCGAGTAGGAGTTCCCACACTGCGTTCTCTTTGGCGGAATACACGAAAAAATTACTCGATTAAAAACTAATTATATGATAATTTTTAATAACGCACATGCAATAAAATTCGCCGTTTAAAATTCACATGAACAAGTGCATATGCTCGAATTAGATCACGCAGAGGACAGAGTGAAATCTTTATTGGATTGGTCAAGGAATAATAAATATAAGTATATACTCTTTTATGATAGAAGAAATTAAACTAGTGGTGCATGGCATCGTGCCTCAAGATTTAATTGCTGGAATTTTTCGTAGCCTCATTTAAAATTTTAAAAAGTTTTACATTTTTTTGAAAATTTTGAGATTTTTGAAATTCTAAATTTTTTTGTTCAATGCGATTTTGGTATAGAACCCATAGAAATATAGACAAAGTTTGTACTTATTAAAACAATCTCTATAAAATGTCTAATAATTTGATGTGCATATGTCTAATGATCATTTCTTACCGCCAAATAGTATTTTTTAAAACTTTTATTGATTGAATCTCTGAAACCCCTATACTTCCCAAAAATTTAATCAATTTTTCATTCTAAACAAGTGAAATATTTTTTGAGTCATTCAGATCGGACGCTCCGTTCTCTCTAAAACTAAATTGCTATTTTTGCACTGAACCCGTATTTTTTAAATGGCTGGACCTTCCCTTGCCAAAAACTAATAAGCACGTATCCCAGTCAATATAAATCGAATGATTTTTGAATTAGTCAAATTGGTTGAACCGTGCTTACGAAGTCGTCAACGGAATTTTGTATCCGCACATACATATACACATACATACTAAACACATACATATAATTTTCTAAGGTATACCAAAATGTTCACAAGACTTTGAATCGTAAAGATATACGAAAAATTTCATTTTTGATTTTTTGCGATTAGTTACAGTAATAAACTCTACGGGAAGTTAAAAAATGAAAATTTTACAAAAGTAAGCTTGTAAACAGTGTTTTTAACCACATAAATGTGTATAAAAAGGTGTATAATTTTTGAATTAGTCAAATCGGTTGATCTGTGCTCTCGAAGTCGTCAAAGAAATTTTGTATCCGCACATGTATGCTAAATATGCACACACATCTCAATTTCTAAAGTATGCCAAAATATTCACTAGGCTTTGAAACGTAAAGATATACAAAAATTTTCATTTTTGATTTTTTGCGATTACTGTAACATACTCTGCGGGAAATTAATTAAAAAATTAAAATTTTACAAAAGTACAAAAGCTTGTAAAAAGTGTTTTAACCACAGAAATGAGTATAAAACTTCAAATAAAATTCAAAACAAAAATATCCCTGAACACGATCCTCTCACTCTCAATCCACAGTTTTCATCTTTCTTATCTATTAGTAGGAGCTCGCCCGTGGGTAAGCTAGAGCGATGGGATTTAGAGGTTTCGAGATCGATACGAGCGATCAAATAATGCGCGAATGGATATTTTGAAAATCTTGAAATAAACTGAATTCAACCACCGTATAAAAAACTTTCTTGCATGTGTCATGTGCGCTCTTAGTCCGTCTATTTAAAATCATTCCGCTTCAGCTTCGTGTTAAAATTATAAGCTCTATTTTTTAAAACCAACATGAGCTACGGAATCAGACAAAGTGTTATTAACCAACGTCAAGCCGGCGAGTTGGCGAGCAAAAGAATCGCGGAGAAGGCAAATAATTATGTTTCGTAGAAGTAAACTTGCAACTCGAGTGCGACCTGAGGGGCCTCGTCGCGACGTTTGTGACATGAGTGAACGCGCAAATAAATCAAGGGTGCGGACGTACGTGTGCACTTGCTGCCTTGTGCATTATTTAGTCTGTAATTCGTTTAAACGCTTCTCCATTCCACCAGAGGAAACCAGATCGTGGACATAATTGCAAATGCTTCATAATTATTAATTTCCATTCTTTTTACGGCACGCGGGTTGCTGGTAAATTAAAAAATTAAAAGAATTGCGTTTTGATGTATTTATAGTCTTTTATATAAGCGATTACTATCTTACAAAAAATAATTAATTTTTAAATAAATTAATTTAATTCAATTAAGTGGGTTAGTGCAGTGTTAAAAATTTAAATTTTGTACATGTCTCTATTAATAAAATTATTACCATGTCTCTATACATACACACGCACGAACACACACACACACACATATATATACATATATATATATATATATATATATATATATATATATATTTCTATTATATAAAAATAAGTCGGGTTTTCCTTCCTGACGATATAACTCAAGAACGCCCGAACCGATTTTGACGATTTTGCATTTGTTGGAAAGGTCTCGGACTCCGTGAGGTTTGTAGCAAAGAAAGTTGAAGAAAGATTTCAAGCGTAAAACACTTTCTTTTTTCACATAAAACGTCATCTCTGATACTTAGCATGTACTACAAACTAATATTTTTTTTTGACTGTTACTTATTTGTTTGACAGCTACTCATTGTTCTCTGCTCAGTTAATTTCATGTGATAAACCGGCATTCACTGTGAAATTGTGCAAAAAAAGTAAAAAAAAAAGTTATTCGTTTGGACACCCTATTTACCCGATGTTAATTCTTCTTATAAATTTTTAACTGTACAGAACAAAATGAATTATTAACAGGTTAAAGTAAAATTAGATATTACTTGTATATATTTATTAATGGAATTTAAAATAATAGTAGAAATATGAATTAATCAAAAAGTAAATGTTACATTTTGAACATTTGGCAAAAATGGTGGAAGGTATCAGATATCAACTTGGCGTATTGTAATTCACTAACCTGGACCCCCATTTTCATTTAGTGGAAACCAAAATATCTTTTTCGCTGACATGGATCCCTGAATGTTGTCATGGACCCTGGTCGAACTCCTAATGCAAGAACGACATCAACCCAACATTTTTCTACAAAAAATATTCAGTTGAAAATCCTCATATGTTACGCAATATCACAAGGATTACCTTTGAGCAAGACTGCTACTTCTTTAAGCAAAACAAATTCTACTATCACTTTGTAGTTTTCCATGTGATAAAGTGCCTCCGTTACATTATTGTACAAAGATTACTGATTCACTCTTTACATTGAAATTACGTGCCAACTGTATCTTCTTCTACATAAATATAGGCCTTGCTAAATTGGTTATGCTATTTGACACAAACTAAAAGCTGTACCATGTTCCGCACCGGAGTACATATGTCTTCTATAGAAGTTTGATCATTTGTTTATGTTTAAGTGGGTATACAGTTCTCGCAGTGATGTGGTTTAATTAATGTGCAGAGTATTTAGATCTTGCACGCCGCCGCTACTTGTGTGAGGCGAAAACATTCGAGTTTATAATAGTCCGATGTTGTTTTGAAAAACTGACATTCGGAGTTGGGAAGATATGGTTGACGTTTCATACACGGCTTACATTTTTTTAAATCTAAAATAAGAAATTGAGCATTTTTGTAAAAAAAAACAATATGATAATATGAAATCATGATCAAAATAGGCTTGCCCCTGGGTCAGAGCAGGGGTCCCAGGTTTATTACCCGCCTCGAGCAACTTGATGTCAACCGCTAGTCACATCGGTTTTCACTTCCAAATATCGATAGAAATAAGTTTCCACGAGAAAGTAGCCTTTATTCGCATAGCTGCATCAATACAAAATGGATCAATACAAAAATTGTAATAATGAAATTCATCACATAAAGATGAGACAAATGTATGTAATATCATCAAAACATCGTAGAACCCTTGAATTCTTATCCAAGCATAAAAAAATATTAATTTTTCAATTATTTAACTAATTGTATACGTGCCTAATAAAATGTTGTAAAGACCCCGGTAATTGAATCTAAAAGACTAAATTTGAACTGCAATTGTATTTACTTACAGTTCCAAAATGACAAAGTATATTTTGTCAATGCTAGTAGTGCAAAATTTCCAAAACAACATCAAGCTCCATATATATCACCTATTCGTAGTTAATTTCATTGTTTTCCACAACACTATGTATTGTACTTTGCATTCTCTTGACGAAACTTTCTGAGTTTCGAGTGATGTAGGAACTCGCTTTTCTATTAGACTATTCTGCAGGGTGAGAAAGCAGGGTGCGAGCGGGTCGCGTTTTCTTGTATAGAAACCCGGCACTGCATACCAACATGTTCGTAAAAAAATTTGTATAGTGTACTATCTATTTTCCACAGTTTTTAATTATTAATAAACAAATTATATCTTTTTATAAATCTACAATCTTAACGCATTATTTGATCCATCAAGGATCCATTTGTCTGAATGATGAATTTTAGGTGTGCAGCTGGCAATGATGTGATTATTAACTCTTGACATCATAAATTCATTCTGATGCATCCAATTTTATTGTCTAACTATTGATATATTGAACTTTCTACCTGTGCACTATGTAGACGTGATATACATAGCTATGGCCATATTGGTGAAACGTCAAACAAAATGTAATCTGTTTTAAAACTATTTACGGTTTCAACTCTTTTGCTAAGAGCGTCGTCTATGGACAACATACGCTTGACGACCTATGTGTAAGAAT